CTCTCTACCAGGGAGCAAATAAGTAGCAAATATATTAAAAGTAAACAGGGGAAAGGGTTATCTAGAAAAGAACATTATACCTCTATCTCAACCTAACTGTTTTAACAGGACTCAAGAAATTTTTTTAATCTTCAAGTCAATAAAGGTTAACAAAATAAAATAAACTTCTGAGTTCCCATCTTTTCTAGAACTTCATCTTTCCTGCTTAAGATATTTTAGCAATATTATCAGTTCTGTGCCACCCCAGCCAACAGGAAAATTTATTTAAACACAACAAAAGTAGAAAATTATTTTGTGGAAAAATACCTAAGTCTGGCTTCTGGGTGTTATCCTATTTCACCTAGCCCAAAACCAATTTAAAACCAACTTCTAGCTAATTATTTCTAGCCCTGATAAGCAAGAAATCTCTCATGTATCTGACATAAAGGACAGAAGATATTTATTATGTCTTTCACAGAAGGCTGAGAAAAGACTAAGAACCACAGAGTCAGTAAAGTCGGAAAATACCTCCAAGACCATCAAGCCCAACTTCCAACTGAACACCACTCTCATCCACTAGGCAGGTCACCCGGTCAGTAAAGAATATCAGGTTGGCCAAGCAGGACCTGCTTTTCCTGAATCCATGCTGGCTGGGCCTCATCCCCTGGATGTCCTGTACATGCTGCATGATCTTATCCACCATGATCTCTTCCATAACTTTTCCTGGCACTGAGGTCAGGCTGACAAACCCACAGTTCTCCAGATCCTCCTTCTGACCATTCCTGTAGCTGGGTGTCACCTGATCAACCTCCAGTCATCTGGAACCCCCACAGGTGGCCAGGACTGATCATAAATGATGGAGAGTGGCCTGGCCAGCTCTTCCACCAGCTCCCTCAGCACCTTCATGTGAACCTCATCTGCCCCCAGAGATGCGTCAGCTTCTAAGTAGCACAACAGGAATAACTACTTCCTCCTGGATTGCAGGGGGTCTCTTCAGATCCCTATCCCTGTCAGCCACATCAGGGGGCTGGTTGCCTTTGGGACAAGCAGTCTTTCTGTTGAAGACTGAGGCAAAGAAGGCATTAAGTACCTCAGCCTTTTCCTCACCCTCGTTTAAAATGTTTCCCTTCACATCCACTAAGCCATTCCATACTAGCTGTTCTGATCCCAAACATTCACCTCTGTAGACCTGTTTCCATTATCAAGATGCAATCTCTACTTGGACAATACATCCTTTGAAATCCTACCATCATGAAATTTTCAGAGGCTTTTTTTAAATTGGACTAGGGCTCAACAACTGTAACTGAGCAGCCTCATATCACCATTTATTCTAACAGTCCACAGGCTAAACTCCATCATTTTTAATTTTCTCATGGCTCAGTACAGTAAAGCAAATCTCCGTGGACATTTCATGAAGCCATGCCCTCTGCAAAAAGAAGAGCATCCAAAAGATATATTATTACCATTTCTTACACTGGTATCAAGGAAATCTAGTTCTGCATTTGACCTAAATGCTTAGCCAACCAGAACTTTAGAGTAATTAGAGATCTGATATAAAAATACATAAAGAGATAAAAAAATAACTTTTCCAAACAAGATCAGGATACACCATCAGTACCTTACTGGTGGTCTCATGCGATTAAAAGCTATATTAACTTGCTGCTCAAACTCACACTCAGGGCATAAATTTCTGTACCACTCACACTACTAGAATGTGTTTTGGCTCATATTTTCTACACAATATGGACATTGGTAGATCAAGCCACATAGCATTACGAACTAGAACCCTTATGTCATCTCTGCTCAATGAAGGATACTGATCCACAGACTACTTCTGAACACCTAAGAAAATTTATCAGATTCTTGGAAAAAAAAAAACAACGAAAAACCCCTTCAAAAACCAGCCACATTATTCTAAAAATACAAGTGCTTGACCTCTGGCTGGTATGTGCATGGCTGAGTTCTTAGTGTATGACTCTATTGAAGAAATTTTCAAGAAAACCTGAACTACAAAGCAGTTCAGTATATAGTCTACATGTCCAGCGGCTGAACATTTTGAGATAACTACTAGTTTTATGGTTTTGAAATTATTTCAGAAAGAATAATCCCTCAAAAAAATCTCATGGTGACAAAACATGGGTGGGACAGAAAACAATATATTTTCCTCTTGCAAAATGTTCTCACAAATATCTTTCTATTTTCTTATCAGCAGATTTTTGGAAGCTTAAGGTCTCATCTTGATTTGGACACTCTTTACATTTTATTTTGATTTCTTTTACAAAAATGCCTAGAGGAAAGAAAGCAGCTTATCTAAAAAAAAAAAAAAAAGTCATTTTGAAATTTCGGTCATAGCTTGGAACACTAAAAGTTTTTGCTAAGTTAATCACTTGTTTCAAGCCAGTATGTGAAAATATAAACCCAAAGAAACTTCAGGCTCCTTACCTGTAAAAGATGAATTAGCACTAAAACGTTCATTGCTCTTAGATATTATATCCAATCTGTCCGCAAACTTGTCAAATCCAAGTGTTAATGTCATGCCCCAGTTACTTTCAGGTACAATATTTCTCAAAAATAATATTGTATGCCATTACCTCCAAACCCATTTATTTTACACACGCAGTGATGGAAAACTGTGTGCAAAGGTAACCAACCAGGACTAAATGGGTTTAGTTTCATTTGGTGCATGAGTGGCTTACACATAAAAATTCTATTAATTATATTGTAAATCCCCTGGCACAGCAGGTTGAGCAGACTCACCCTGAAGACAGTTATCAGAAGAGATAACTGCTGTACCATGAAACATAAAATGGTCAGAGGCTTCATGGTACTTGTTACTTGTGAAATATGGAGGGGAAAAAAGGAGAAGAGGCTGTAGAACACATTCAGAATAGATTAAGGGAAAACCAACAACACTGGGCAAATTTCCCAAGTTGAATCCATATACTTTAAAAGGAGGTATGTTACTACAACCTGCATTGACTAAAGAGTTGGTAAAGTTTCAGCTTGTCCAGAAGATGCTAATCATCACCTCTTCCTCCCCACTGCTGACCTTATTGAATTCCTTTTCTGTAATCAGATACAGAATTCAGTCTCATGTGCCAGCTGCTGCTGCAGATACAGCTTTGTCCTTAAATAAAAATTCTTCAGGTTGGATATTTTCTGCTTTTTATCTGCACTTGATTTACCAAACCCACAAATAGTCATAACCATGATTTGCATGGCTCAGTAAGGACTCTACTGCCTTCCTGTATATGGAGCATGTCTTGGCAAAGTAGTACTCAACAATCTCTGTGTAGCAGAGGTCCCATTGCAGTAACACTGACCAAACCTGCATCTTCTTCTTGGGCACTGCCAACACCTCCAGACCAGGGACTGAAAGCCACATATGCTAACCACTTAACAGTTCGTACATCTTTTCAACATTTTGCCAAGATTTCTGCATAATTCCCTTGTGTTGATCCCACTTCATTTGTTCTCCAGTGTTCGGACCTCTGGGGCTTTCCCTGGAAACTTCTCTGACAGTCATAATTCCAGATTCTTATCCTCAGCTATGTAATGCTCTTCACAACACTGCTCTTCCATATTTGTTACTACATTCCTCTCTGAAACTACCATCAAATTTGCCCTCCTGTTTTTTGAATCTAAAGCCTGTGAATGTGAATTAAGAACATGCATTCTTCTGCATGTAAGGACACTTAGTGTGAGCACTTGCACTCGAGCCTGTCTTATGCCACCTGAATTGAGCATCCTCTCCTAAGCCACAGGCACTGCACTGCCCTCCTTCCCTGCATCCCTCTCTCCTCACATTGCCTGCAAAGCTCTATAGCACAGAACCAGACAAAATACAGAGCCCAGTATGGCCTCTGAGAGAGACACTAAATTTGCTTAAAAGTTAAAAGGAAACTGTTATATTATTCAGAACCTTTAATTTTTATATTAGTTCTCTACAAAAAAGCACGTTGCTCTCATTGTTACCCTCTACTTTCTTTTCTATTTATTTAAGTAGTTTTCCAACTCGTACTGAGCTTAAACTGAAATAACATTTAAAGCTGTTCACTCTCAAGCTGGCGACTTTATGATGTACAGCCCTAGCACCAAGCACAACAGGGCACCCTGGCAGTTAACAGAACATCAAAATCAGCTGTAAAAGCATGTTGTGACTTTAGATAATCTTATTGCTGAAAAAAAATGTAAAATCCAATTAAATCAAATTATATGAAACAAAACAGTAGAATGAAATAAAGCTGCAAATTCAAAATATTTAACAAAGTTAACAGAAGAAAGTAATCCATGGAACATACTGTTATGGGAAAAATTATAAACATGCAACCAAAGAGAGTTCCTATATCATCTGAACAATGTAACCAAGCGTTTTCTAATGAAGCACAGATGTAAAGAAGAGTGCATTAGCACAGCCAATCCATTCGAATTTACACTCCTGTATTCCTCTACTTCCATGTTAAAATAAACATGACATCTAGAAATTAAAAGAACCTTCTCATTTCTTCGATTAAACCATGTTCTGTCTGGATTGTAACTACAAGGTGATACTATTATTATTATTAAAAATATTAAATACATATATGTCAGGAAAAAAGGTAATACATGCATACATTATATTTGTTTATAATTCACTAAATATTAGCTACATTTTACATGGAACCAAGAAGTATATTTATTAGAAACCCTATGGCCCTCTGCATTGTGGAAGCCCATGCATGGCATGAACACATTGCTGGGGAAACTGAATGGTGTGGTTAGGAAAGCCAGTTTTATACAGCAGAGCAAAATCACTGTGGAACCTGCTTCCACCCACAATGGAAACTTTACACTTTGGAATCACCCAAATCTTCCCAGACACTCCCTGCTCACGTTACTGTCCTGCAGACACTTCAACATGCAGGGTAAATGCAGCTAATAAGCATAATTAGCTCAGACAGTGTATTTTAATTTAGTTTTGCACTAAAGACTAATTGCCTACTCAGCGAAGGGGAAGTGGAACATTTTTTTAAGATGCTTACCCGAGGGCCCTGATCACCTTGATCTCCCTGCAAAGTGGAAAGATGAGATGATAGGTTTAACACAGCATCTGTGTGCTACCCAGCTCTCTTACATAATCTAACATTTCACTGCATCAATACAAACAGTCTCTTGAGTTCATGCTGGGAGGGCTTTCCAGTCACCTTGTACAAATCACCCGAACACCAACTCACCTTCTCGCCTTTTGGACCAGGAGGGCCCTGAAAGAAACAAAGGCAAAGATTATTTACTGATGCTGATGAAGTCCTGGGATACAGAAAGAAACAGGTCTGTTTCTTCCCAACAATATAATTCCTTATAATTTTTAACTCTGGAATGCCAGTGCTATTCCAGAGACGGTTTCTGTACTAATAATAGGAACTGCACACTATTTCTTGAATAATTTGCTAATGTGTGTTGAATCAGTTTACTCAGACAAGCAAAACTATGCCTGAAATGGCAAAATATCTACAGATTTCACTTAGGGACAATAGTTTATCTGCTATCAGATTAAAAAAAGTTCTTACACTGTAAAAGTTCTTTGCAAGAGCACTTAATAAATTTGAATACATATAAATCTGTCATGTATTTTGGCACCCTCCTTGTATCAGATTGCCAAAGAAAAATGGATTTGAAATTCTAAAAGGAGGGTTTTCATTCCTTTCTTTGGCAATACTGATGTTTAGTCTCAAGCAGACTTTTTAGGCAAAATGAGCACTTTGTGTAACATGATTTTGCAGGAGTATTACTTTTTGTTACTTACCACCCAACAAAAAGTAAGGTGACAGAATCACAAATAGGAAGTCCTTTCCTATTCCATTTTTATTAAGCACTTTTCAGAAAGCTAGGAGCAGGTTTCTGAACCACTAGTTTTCAGGTTAGTATCTTGTGAATAAAAATGCTATCAGTCTGCACAAAACCGTCTGCTTACACAGTGCAGACTCTACCTCCAGCTTTCTGAAAAATACGCAGGTGTTTCATTACAAAGAAGGATCAGAGATACATATGAAAGCCTCTGTAAACAGAGAAGGAGCCATTCAAGCCTGCATGGTTCACTGTGATAACACAAAGAGAGTGTGGAAGTGTGTGTGTGTTTGTGAGGGTTTATGCAGAACAAGAAAAGACTGTCACTAACAACACGGGTAAAACATTCATGTGGTTTGCATAAATGCAGTGGAATGGAGGTCAGTCTGCTGTGTATTAAAGATGTGATCAACCACAGGCAAGTCTTTGAGAATCCCTGTTGTAGCCAATTTTCTGCTTAGTTTTAAGGGCTTCTGATGCACGCCAGAGGAGAGCATCTGCTGCTGAATCAGAGGAATTAAAGCATATGCCATTCCCTGCATGGCATGCTATCTCTTCTGTCTGCTGCAGAGGACACAGAAACAAGTCTGCCTCCTGATGTGCCCAGGTCTCCTTCAGGAAGCACAGTGCTCACTGCCAGCTGAGTGGAAACTCTCTGCTCAATTAACTATGACCCCAGCCCACTTTGCATTGCCCTGCAAGCACTTGGCCTCTTTAAAAACACATGAAACAAAATAATTTAATTAATAGACACAACCTGGCTGCACCTTTAAGGTCTCTCCATATATTATTTTTAAGCTTTAAGCCCTACTGTCCTTTCCCAGTACACATAAACACATACTGAAAACTAAGTGCAGCACTGGCAACTTTTAGCTGCAGTCTCCCCATACATGTACTGTTATGTCATGTCTCTAAAGCCTACACATACATGCCACTGGGCTTGTGAATTTGTGAACTCATACCATCAGTAACACAGTAATTGCAGGATGGGAAGAACTAAAATCAGTCAGTGCAGGCTGTTGCTGCCCTCTCCACAGCGAACGTGAAGCACAAGCGAAGGGCTGTGCTCTCGTGTTCTGCCTCCTTGAATCTCCAAGCCATTACTGGCTCTGAATATCTCACTGGCTGCAAAGTGCAAATAGCATGACCCCTATCTGCTACAGTCAGAATCCTATTTCTCAGGCCTTAGGCATGAAATGATAGGTAACGTGACACGACTGAGCCTGTAAACAGATGTTGTCCTGTGGGAGCTGTTGCTGCCTTCATTTAGATGCTTGGTGCCGCTCTTATGCCCAAGAGAGGCCCTGCCCTGGTTCTGATGCGTTTGGGCTCCTAACTTTTCTGAAGCATGCTTGCCACAGCTCTGCCTGTTGGTAGAAACTACAACAGGAGAGATCACATCAGCTGCCTGAACGAAGCTGGTTCACTGGAACAGAAACAAGCTAGAGCTCACCTGAGGGGCTCAGCCCCCAGATCTGCAGGGCTACTGCACTGTCTCCCTGGCACGACTGCTGGCAATTATGCTCAGCCATGCCCAGTGCACAACTGGCCCCTTCCTCTACCCTGCATATTCTCCTCTACTGAGAGTTCTCTGAAAGTAAAACCTATTCCTAAACATGCTTCTACATAAGACTGAATCAGATTTCTTTTTTTTTCTCCTTCCTCTGTGCAGGATTTTCTGAAAACAGTCTGTGCGCATCATAATCAGATTTTGCTTTGTTTTTTATTGCCTGGTGTTTTCTCTCCCTGAGTGCCAGACACCATCATCTCTAACAAGTCACCCTGCCAGCACACAAATTTTTCATAAGAGTCTTCATAAACGTCTGACAATTTTATTTTACCAGGGGTGAAAAACAGCTTTTCAAAAGCCCACAAAAACACTTCTGGTGTGAACATTCTCACAAGTCTCTTCACTTGTATTTGCAATGCTTTTGCTTTCTGCAAGAGTCTTGAAAAACAAACAAACAAATGCCAATAAAATGGTTCTTTTGGATGCAAGTGAAGAGAACCAGTGGGGTTTCATCAAAATAAAAATTAATGGAATACTTTCATGGCTTGTTCACCCATCTCTGGCTTTTCCCCCACTGTTTCAATTGTCCCCTATTGTTTTCGCAACTTTAACCAGAAAATTCCTATCCTCAGCCTTTGACATCTTCTTTCCATTTGTGCTGAGAAATTCTCCCAAGGTTTTTACTGCAGAGTTTATTAGTGTGTGTACACTGAGTGGAGGCAGGGAGGAAGAAAAATCTGAGCGAAAGCTGGGTTTGCGGGGGTGGGGTGTAATTAGGAGACAGATTTATTTAAAGGAGGGCAAGGTTTCTTCTGTTTAAGGGTACAGACACAAAGCACAGAGTGAGTAAAATAACACTAGTTTTGTAGGCCACAGCATGGACTTGCTGATTTTTTTCCCAGGGAGACTTCTGTGCTTTGGTTTATGAGATGGCAGAGATCAAGCCACGAGCTGCCGAACAAATGTGAAAGCATTTTGTGTAAGTTATATGAAACGTCTGAGGTCAGAGCATTTCTGAAATAACTTCTCAGTGTTTTCACTGGAAACAGAGGCTCTTTTCTCAAAGTGTAATTATCTACTCCAGACTACTATACATTTCCAAGGAGAGTTTATAGCCTGTTTCACATAAGCAAGGCCTTGTAAATCTCAAACACATGCAAAATCTGCATTTATAATTAGGCAAAAAATACTACTGTTTTTAAAACAAGGTCTCCTATAGCAGACTGAAAGGCCTCCAGGCACCTGCCAGCTAAGAACAGAACTGAAATCAGGGTCAAATCCAAAAACCAGCCATATTCAGGATTGCTGTCAGGTGACCCACCGCTTTTATATTTTTGCTACCAAAATCCCATTTCCATACTCTGATGAAATTTTACATTATTATAAATAGGAATAGAAAATCAAGAGAATGCAATAAACAGGAATAGAAAGTCAAGAGAATGCAATACTAGAAAACAGGAGACTGATCCTTGCAGTCTTCATCAAGCAACATTTCCTTATAATTAATTGAGTGTGATCAGCATGATTTTTTTCCACACAGATGAAATTTTATAATCAATTCCCTGAAAGATGCTAATTTTGAATTCCACCTTTGAGGCCATTGCCACCTATATAGTTTTGCATAAGTTACATCCAGAGACCTCTTAAAAAGCCAGTAGTTGACTTATTTTGATTTTACAAACATTCATAATTATCAAAATTCTCTTATATTCTCTCCACATATCTATTGCTACAGATCTGCCTTTAACCATAATACAAGAAGTTCTGCTGCAAACTCACCCAAAAGGCTCCAAGCATTGATGGAACAGCAGAACTGAAAGCAGTAAGGGGTTCTTAGTACAGAGTACAAAGCAGTGTTGAAGGTTCTGTAAAAAGCTCCACACTCAGTACAGAGGAGTGTAGATCTTTCCTGACTGTTAGACAGGCCATATGATGCCTCTGGAAAAAGGACCAGCCAGTCCCCAGCACAAGCTGGTGACAACCAACCAACCAACCAGCCAAGAGAATCAGCTGGACTGTGACAGTCCCAGCTCCCACTGGGATCATGCACCCTCACAGCTCCTAAGGAACACCACATGCCAAACTTGACAGCTCCCATCAGACAGAGCTCCCACAGAAGACACAGGTGATAATAACCTTTCAGACACAGTCACTGCTTTCCTACATTCCCACCACAACAGGCACGGGCTAAGGCAAGCTGGCAGCTGGAGGAATGAGTGCAGTTTGCACGGTTCAGCCTTCATTTTCATTTGGGACTGAGGGATGTACAGTGCAGCCATCCCTACCAGCAGCCACAGTGTGAATGGCAGCCTGAGGCAACAGCAGCCTTGTAGAAAGGAACAGAAAAGTGAACCAGCTACTCCAATGTCACCCAGGGAAATCCAAAAAGGGAATCAATTTCCCAGCTTAGTTTAACCATGTTTTCACAACTAAACAGCATGCCATACATTGCCTAAGTTAATTCAATATTGCAGATTATTTCAAGGGTAAAAGGTGGCTTTAGCATGTAACAACAAAATAATCAGATACAAAAGCTGAACTTTCTTTCTTTGAAACTTGACTCATGACTTCGATAAATTACAAGAATCTGTCTGGAACAACAGTCCCCAGCCTATCCTGTAATTGCTGCAAAATATTAGGATCAGATTTGCTGAATCACAGGAGGTTACACAGAGCATTATGAAACACTGCTGTGCATCATAACTATTCCAAAGTTCCTACACTCATTTCAGTCTTGTGTCCACTACGCAAACTGAACTACTGCTGAACTACTGAGGCAGTGTGGTTTTGGCATGTGCTGAGCTTGGCCATGTTTTCAGCCAGTGTTTACATATGCTAGTTTACAATGCCAACATTTCACCTTGCAACAATTTTACAACTACTCAGAAGAATTTTCAGTGAATCTGA